AGCGTCCAGACTAGCGCACTGAGCCGACAAACAGCTGATCAGCTGTTTGTCGGCTCAGCGCGGCAGCCATGTAAATTTAAATGAAGCGGCGATTATTTAAATCGCTGCTTCATTTCCCTTTGCCTACAACCCTCATCTACATGGCTCCGTCGATGGAGCCATGTAGTCTAGACACAGCCCAAGTGTGTGCTAGCTCTGTGCACAGAGCCCTGCAAATCTGCGGCTTTCCACTTTATATTCCTGTCTCTTTTTTGTGGATATGGATGCAGATGTGGATACAAATTTTGTGCCTAGAATCCTGCAAATTTGCAGATTCCACTTTATATCCACAGGGCAGCTGCATCCACAAATGTGGATGCAGATATCAGCAGTTCATTTTTGTGGATACAGATGCAGATACAAAATTTTGTATTTCTGCAGGACTCTAGCTGCGCTCCCTGGCAGAAATCTTTATTTTCATAGACCAGATTCATTGTAAGTGCATTGAAACAATTTGAGAGAGCCCTTTTTATTCCATTATCAACAAAGCTTCAGAATATTAACACTGAAACATCCCCCAGAGAGAAACATCTGGATCCAAATATTTCTTTAAATCTATTTTATACTGCCATCCATCACTGTTCTATTTGAGCACTTTCTACATAAAATAAACCAATATCAATAGCAGAATTCATAGTGGATTTCATGCATTTTCTGGCATGTCCTTCTTCTTAGGGGCAAAAGCTGTTTGGGGTATGTTGATTGTTAGTTGATTTTTGTTTTGTTTTGTTGTACAATTTTATAAATGTCCTTTCTGAGGGCTTGTAGGGGGAACCATTGGTAGGGGTTTATTATCTGTGCAAAACATTGCTGAACAGCGTGAGAGTTTTTTGTAAAACTAACCTGGCTCTTTATTAAAAGAACTACTTACAAAGAGGCTGCAACTGCAAATAGCATTCAAACCATATCCCCATGGACTGAATTCCAAGTGCCTTCTTCAAACCCTCTCTCCTGCTGCCTAGGCTCTTCCATCCATGCTCTGAACCCTAATACCTCTGAACTTTGTGGTGGTCAAAATCCACCTAACATGGTGTGGTGTGAGCCCAGCTGTGCACCACATCAGAGTTCGCTGTAAAATGGCTCACACTGTATGTTGATTCAGGTAAAATCCTGTCCCCTAAAGAGTTAGCCCAGACTTTTAGATGTTTGTTATATGATTTTGAAAATATTTCATCATTTTTATATGTGTTACAGAAGCAGCTACAAATAGCAATTAGGTGGCCCAAAGTATTGGGCACTGTGCATCAAGGTTCTCTAATTTTTTCCATTCATGTGTAGAATAAAGTTTATGTGCACCTAGTCATGTGTGGATGTGCACCACCGGTAGAAACACATGCTGACATTTGCTGCCAGTTGTGGGCACTCTGCTAATCAGTGGCATGCCATTTGAATCTCTCCTGGGTGGCCACTTAAGTGCCCAGCTTACAGGAACCACTACTGCAATATATGGAACGTATTCTAGTTCGTTCTTTAGCACAGGGGTGAAACTGAAAGCATTGTTTGTATATCATTTACCTTAGTTATATAAGCATTATATAAGCATTTCATTATTTATAATTACTGTTGCAATGCACGTTACGCCATTGCTGGAGGGCTTACGAAATACTGCTCTATTGACATCAGTGGGAATTTCACCATTGTCTTAAGGAAGGCCAGGATTTTATCTGTTCTTTCAGCACTTTTATAGCCTCTATCACCATAATATCTGAACTCCACAGACATTGGCATTTTTATCCTCACAACACCGCTGTGAGTTAGGGAGGGATCATTATCCTCAGTTTATAAATGGGGATCCAAGCCTCAGAGGGATTAAATGACTTCCTCAAGGTCACACAGGAAATCTGTGGCATAGCTGGGAATTGAATCCAGAGTGTGTGAGTCCCAATCAGGTATTTTAATCACAACACTCTCCTTCCTCTTCTAGCTGCACCAGTCGTCTGTTTACAAATATTTTCGCAGAATGTAAATGTTTTTTAAAAAACAAAACAACTATAGGACAATCTCACAGACTTGGAGACACACAAACAACATTCAGGGCACCAGCTCACTGTAGTAGGAGCAGACAAACCAGCTGCACCACCTGCTGACTGGCAGCCGAGAGCGCATTTGTTTTGCAGGATGAATCATCATGTTATGAAGTTGCAGATGTTATGTCATCACACGATGCAGCTTCACCAGGTGTTGATGAAACATCACTGTGTCATAAAGGTGTGTCATATGAAGCCTAATTCAAATTCAGGTCTCCCGGGACCTAGAGCAGACCTGTAAAAAGTGGGGTTGTCTATATCTGCTGAATTTCAGGCTAGAGGATTCTCTTCTGGCCTTCAGTACCACTCTGGTACCATCCATCAACCCAAGAGACCATACAAGCAAGGAACCTGGAAAGCAGGTGAACAGGAACACATGAAAACACAATCCAGCCCATGCCTTACTAATGTGAGTAAGTTTTGCCAACGTAGCAGGAGGGGGCGGTGTAAAGGGATTGATTTGGGGGTGAGCTCAGCTATGCAGTAACTTGTGCCTAACATAGCTGCAGATATACCAGTATAAAAATGCTTATGTCAGTGTAACTTATTTCACCTCCCAGAACAGGAATACAGTATAACTGCAGCTATTCTAGGCAAGTTTTGCCACTTTAACTATGCAGACATACTTATGTACAGATGAAGCTTTTATTTTTAAAACACTGGGACAAATTCTTCCATGAATTACAGGGTTAAACGTATGTAATCCCATTAATTGAATGTGGTTTCATGGTGTGACGTAGTGGGGGTACCTGGCTGGTTTCTATGCTGCTGGCTCTGGGGTAACCCCCACTGGCTGCCGTGGGTACCACGACCCAGCAAAACAGGATGAGTCACTATGCAACCAGTATGGCCAGACACCCCCCATGGAGAGGAACAAAGGAAGGTGGAGGCTGCCCTGGCTGGGGGGCAGGGCTGGAAGAGGGTTAGTGAGTTGCTGGCTGGAAGCATGGAGGAGACAGCCTAGGGAAAGGGACTGGAGTTTAGGGGCCCAGTCTCCCCCATCTCAAGGGGGCCTGAGGCATCCTAGCCCAGCTCTGTGACCAGATTACATCTGTGCTGTGCTGTATCCTGGAGAGGCAATAAACTTCCTCTATTACACTGGCTGGTGCAGTCTGTTTGTGCCATTTCGGGGTGCAGGAGACAGGGGAACCCCATCGTGCCGTCACACATGGGCAGAGGAATTTGGATTATTGTCTTTCTCCTCCCCCAGGACGTGTTCTTCCCCTCATTTGTTCTCCAAAGCAGGAATTTCCTGTCACACTATATAGCTTGGAAAGAGCCTGGAGGTTTTCCCTACCCTATGCACACCTGGAATGTTTTCCTTCCTGTTTCCCCATCATCTCCTCTCCTGTAGTGACTGCAGGCAGGGGGTGGGCTTCTCCTTCAACTGCTGCTGTAAGTCAGGTGATGTTAATGAGGCTGTAGACTTGCAATGTCACCCGTAGATCACCCTAGCCCTTGCTTAAAAAGTACACTGGTAAAATAGATTAATAAGTGACCTGCTCCTTCCAGTCTCAGAGGGGTCGCCCTGTTAGTCTGTACCTGCAAAAACAACGAGTCCTGTGGCACCTTAGAGACTAAGGGTATGTCTACACTCCCCCGCTAGTTCGAACTAGGGGGGGTAATGTAGTCATCCGCAGTTGCAAATGAAGCCCGGGAAATTCAAATCCCGGGCTTCATTTGCAACTGCGGATGACTACATTGCCCCCGCTAGTTCGAACTAGGGGGGGTAATGTAGTCATCCGCAGTTGCAAATGAAGCCCGGGAAATTCAAATCCCGGGCTTCATTTGCAACTGCGGATGACTACATTGCCCCCGCTAGTTCGAACTAGGGGGGGTAATGTAGTCATCCGCAGTTGCAAATGAAGCCCGGGAAATTCAAATCCCGGGCTTCATTTGCAACTGCGGATGACTACATTGCCCCCGCTAGTTCGAACTAGGGGGGGTAATGTAGTCATCCGCAGTTGCAAATGAAGCCCGGGAAATTCAAATCCCGGGCTTCATTTGCAACTGCGGATGACTACATTGCCCCCGCTAGTTCGAACTAGGGGGGGTAATGTAGTCATCCGCAGTTGCAAATGAAGCCCGGGAAATTCAAATCCCGGGCTTCATTTGCAACTGCGGATGACTACATTGCCCCCGCTAGTTCGAACTAGGGGGGGTAATGTAGTCATCCGCAGTTGCAAATGAAGCCCGGGAAATTCAAATCCCGGGCTTCATTTGCAACTGCGGATGACTACATTGCCCCCGCTAGTTCGAACTAGGGGGGGTAATGTAGTCATCCGCAGTTGCAAATGAAGCCCGGGAAATTCAAATCCCGGGCTTCATTTGCAAGTGCGATATGCCTACATTACCCCGCTAGTTGGAACTAGCGGGATAGTGTAGACATACCCTAACAGATTTATTTAGGCATAAACTTTCATGAGTCAAATCCACCTCATCAGATGAATTGGAGTGGAGTTTACAGAGGCCTGGGTATCTATAAGGAGAACAAAAGGAAGAGGGTACTTGTATAAATGCCTCTTTTTTTGTTTCTTGTCCCTATATATACCCATATCTCTGTAAACTCCACTTCAGTTCATCTGATGAATTGGGGGTTTCTTACACATGAAAACTTATGCACTAATAAATCTGTAGGTCTCTATGTTGCCACAAGACTCCTCGCAGTTTCTGCACTTTAAAGACTCATTTACAAATTTAGGGCATCAATCGCAACTGAAATTGCGAACGTTTTCTTTCTCTTGTCTCCTTGGCTTCTATTGTCCCTCCAGCCAAGCAGTTAGAAAGATGTTTGGGTAGATAAGTTTAGATCATTCATTGCAGAAAAACACCTGCAAATCAAATGTGAGCAACAGTATCTGCATTACTACAGTGTTGAGTGTGTTGTTATTTTAAGAGCTAGATATAATAATTCAATGCATGTTGTTCTCCAAACCTGGAAACAGTCCTCACAACCTATACTAGATCTCTCATCCTCATCATTTTAGTTCCAGTTTCTCTAAGCCAAAAAGAGGAAGAGACGAGGAAGCGAACGCTGTGTCTGAAACTTGGCTGTCAAGACCTTTCTTGCTCTAGACAACTAAAGAAAGCTGAACATCCTTACTGTGGAGCAGCAGATATTATCATTTATTATTTGTATTGGGGCTGTGCCTTCAGCTCCTATCAGGCATTGAGGCTCCATTGAGGTAGGCATTATACAAACAGATAGCAGAAAACGGCAACCTTCCCTCCTACTCCCAAGAGATCGTAACCAAAGGTGCAATCCCTGCTTTTTAAATCTAATATCTAACTTTTTTTATCTGATCCTTCTGACTGATCAAGTTAATTTCAATGGGGTTAAAAAACGCCTCCCTGGTTTTCACTTTGTACGTTTTTAGATGTTGGCAGATGATATTGATACTTTACTGGCTTGAAAGCAATTTATGGTCAACCTCACCTCACCAACACTTCCACTGCTTACTGGGCTGTTAGAGGACATTTAGGAGTAAATTAGAGCTAAATAACAGCACATTGAGAGTCAGGGCTGGTGGCTGTAAACAAACTTTATAGGATCGTGGGAAACTTGACCCACACCCATGAAAAGTGGATATCTGGATATCTAAAATCATTCCGGATGATGGATGTTTCCAGACCAGAGAGTTCTGAACTAGAGAGGTTCAACCTATATTCATAAACTGCAACAAGCTAACATCAGGAGAAAGAAATTAAGAAGACAAACTAAAGTATCTTCCCAGTTCTCAGAGCACTGCTTTCCAGCAGGCACCTTGGCCTTCTCTCTCTCCCTGATTCTTACAACCTGGGCATTTGGACAAAGGGAGGAGAAATGGCAGCTGGAATGGCAGATTGTTCTCTTGCAGTTTATAGCTGTGTACAATGCAAGATATCCCTGACTGGTCCCGGATGAGGGAATTTTGCCAGACCCAATCCCTGGATGAGGGATTTTGCTGGACCATTTCTGGCACCCCTGCTGCTGGCCCAGCCCCCTCCCCTGCAATCCCACCGGACTTCCTAGCTCCCCAGTGGCCCAGCTGGGTTGCATGCTGGGCTTCCTGACCCTCCTCTAACCCCCTTCAAGCCCAGCTGGGCCGTACGCCTGCCTTCCCGGTTCCCACCCTCAGGCCGGCTGAGCCGCCCAGCTCCCCCGCAGCACATCAGGACTTTGACGGATGTTGCCAGACCAGAGAGATCCTATTTACAGAGTTGCAACATTTAGCTCTACTGTGATGTTACACAACTCTGCTAATTGAATTCGCTCTTACCTCTGGAATTAAATAACATGCTTCAGGGATCGACCCTGTTGGCATTATTGAATTCTTCGGCAGGGTTGCTGTAATACCAGCAGGATTTAGTCCCAGGAGACAATCCAGAGGTGTAGAGAAGGCTTTGGTTTAATAGACTGCATGCAGAACTGCAAGCCGGGAATTATAGTTTCTGACACAGGCTCTGAACCTGATGTGGTTGATTTTGACCTTAGCCCATTAGTTAATAAAAGAAAACAATTTCTAGCCGGGCATGTTCTAGATTCCTGTCTGGAGCCTTTGTTCTAACCACAGTGAAAGCATGATGTTCCAATGATGAACTGTACCAAATGTTGGCATTAATGCAACTCTCATTTTGGGAAGAGTAGATAGAATCACTCTGTGCTGGAACAGAACAAGCAAAGAGTGGGGAGACAACCAAATCATGAAGTCCTAGTATGGCTAGTAATAGATCCAGAAGTTTTTTATAAGGATTTTCCTGGAGCGGTGTGAGGAGTTTTTCTTGACCCTTCAGTACCAGGACAAGCAGATGAAAGGGACCATAATGAGACTCTGAAGTTTCAGGTCATGTATGCCACAAAACTGAAGGATTTCTAATGAATGCGAAATTAACTAGATTTTTGCTATAAACCGCAGTGAGAGTGAGGTGTCTGTTTTCATTGTCCAAGCTGAGAGGAAAGTATAAAGTAAAACAAAACATTCTAAATTGTGGGAAATGAATTAAAATGCCCTTTTTGTAGCAACATGCCTGGAATTTAGAGGGAGGATTACAGACTGCAGGAGGGAACAATCTGAAGGTGGCAGCAGGAAGTCAGTCTGTGTGCACATGGTTAGAATGTTAGCTGCAGTCGTAACATCTCTGTAAATAGTTCTCTTAATAAAGAGTCAATTTCATTATAAAAGCATGGAGTCCTTTCCTGTTAGTACGTAGCATGTGGTAGGAGAAACACCTTCAACTTTTCCTCTTTCTAAAGTGAACCCACTGCCTGCCTACTTACTTCACAGCGGTGTAAAGTACTTTAAAATAAGTCCTAAACCATAAACGTACCAAGACAGAGATATTCACAATGGGATTATTGTCCTCCCCCACAACAAAAAAAGAAGAGGAGCTTTATAAAACTCCTTTAACCCAGTTTCTTAAATGCCATGA